TTTAAAAAAATCCCTCTAGCTGTATACGCAAGTACTCACAGAATTTTGTGCTCTTTAATAAATGGGGGTCTGCCCGCCACAATGGTTGAGTTGTTGCAATTTCTGATCATTTTAGAGCAAATTAATTGGACTATGGTCTGAGATTAAAATATTATGATAGGTGGCGTTGAACGTAAAGGGAATTAACTTCATATCAACTAGAAAGTAGTCGATACGAGTATAAACGTTGTGGACCTGTGAATGAAAGGCGTAATCTCTCCCCGTTGGATTGGCTAGCCTCCATACATCACCAACATTAGAATTTTTTATATACATGTTAAGAAAGTCCCTGGATTTAGAGGGGGGAGCACGCTGAGCAGAGGATCTGTCTAAATATGGGTCCAGGACACAGTTAAAATCCCCCCAATAATTAAATTAGTAAGTGATATATCAGGAATCCAGGAAAACACATTTTTAAAAAAGCGTGGATCATCAAAATTCGGTCCATAAATGTTAACTAATGTTATATGTGTTGAAAATATTTCTCCTGCAACTATGATGAATCGCCCCTCCTTATCTGCAATCGTAGCCCTATGTTTAAATGGGATCCCTTTTCTTATTAAAACAGCGGTACCCCGAGCCTTGGATGAGAACGAAGAGTGAAAAGATTGACCTATCCACCTGGCTCTTAGCTTGGAATGGGAGTCATTTTTAAAGTGTGTTTCCTGTAAGAATATTATATCAGTGTTCATAGATTGTAGATGAGACAATACTTTACTTCGTTTAACAGGATGGTTTAGACCTTTAACGTTCCAAGAAGAAAAAGTCAATGCTCCCACCCCTCTGTCAGGTGTCTTATTCTGAGCAGCAGCCATCCCAATTATTGCGTTGGTTACCTCCCCCCACCGCGGAACGCAGCCACAGACAGAACCCTATTAGACATCCCCTCCCACGATCCCTTATCACAAAAAAATTTAAATGAGAAAACAGAACAGAAACGTACCTGAGAACACAGGTTTGCTTGAACATCAAATCAGAATTTTACCAAGAAACAGTCAACTTGACTGTAAAAAAACAGCCCATCTGGTCTAGCAGGAGCCCAATGGACAGTTCCTATTGATGTAATGGATGTCCGTCTGTACACACAGGCAGCTCAGTCTTTACTAATTCGAGCCGCGAAGCATATAAACATTGAATATAACACAAATCACGTCGAGAAAAATAAATAAAAATTTAGCGCATAATTATAATTGTCCGATCAGCGTTCCAACCCAGTCTAGTAGACTCTATAAAGTTCCATAAGGAGTTTATGATGTCGACACGTCCCCCTCACCAAAGTGCTGCTCTGCGAATGTGATCGCCTTTACCGGATCCGTGAAGTATATTTCTTCTCTGTTGTGTGTGACCCGTAACTTCGCTGGGTACAGAAATCCGAAGCGGACCCCTGGACGATCTCGAAGTAGGTCTTTAGCTCTGTTAAAACGGGCACGCTGTTTCAGTATGGCAGCTGGGAGATCAGGGAATATCAGGAGTTTCTCTCCGTTGTAAATGATGGGCTTGACCTGAGCCGCTTTTCGGATGATGTCCTGCCAATCGTGAAAGTAGTGCATCTTAACAATGAAGGCCCGGGGATATGACGTGTTGTCGGAGCATTTTCTCAAAGATCTGTGAGCGCGGTCGATCAAAGGTAAAGTTTCCAAAGATTGCGCATTCTTCAACAGGTGTGCAATAGCGCCCAGTCTCCTCGCCCACTTTAATATTTAGAATGCGCAGGTTTTGCCTTCTACTGCGACTTTCCAGGTCCGTACATTTCTCAGTGAGCTGTGAGACACTACTTGTTAGCTTTTCAACCTCCTTTTGTAGCTCGGAGACCGTATCTGAAGTAAAAGTTGCGCAACGTTCGAGCTCCGCCATAGTTTTAGCTTGGTCGTCCATCGTGCTTTTCATGGCCGAGATAGTGACATCAGTCTCTTTTTTGAGAGCAGTTAATTCTGCTCTAATGGAGGTCGAAAACTGGTCTAGTTTCTTGTCGATAGCTTCAACTATCTCCGACTTGAATAACTGAAAATTTGACTGGAGAGCAGCTATCCCCTCCAGCACTGCCTTGTTAGCCACAGTGCTGGCCTCGCTGCCACAGTCATCTTGAATGTCTCTCGGGGTTTTTTTTGGGGTTTATTTGGCATCTTAAGTGGGTATTCTGAACTTAATGACGTGAAAATAAAATTTTACTTCACATATCAATGGAAAAATAACGGAGCTGCCTTCGCACGCGTCTTGCTCTCACATTGCGCCTCCCGGAAGTAAATTTAATTATTATTAATAAGTGACCTTGACTTTAAGACAGGCAGTACACAGACACACATCACTGTCAGTATCGGTACGCTAACATGATTCTTAGTTTATTATCTATGTTCTCCAAAAGCAGATAAATATTTGCATTTCCACAAGCAGATATATATATATATATATATATACACATATATATACAGCACTCAGTCAGTGGGGTCTAAAAGTCTGACATCACTGGTGAAAATGTAGCAGTTTTCTAACTGAATAATAAAAATTATGCATAACAAAACTAAACTGAATGCAAAATTATTAAAAAGAAAAGTGTAATAAAAATTACACACATTTTATTTCAAAATGACTTTAAATCCTAGAGTTTCCATATTATGGACTTTATTACTAGGGATGCAACGATATTAATTTGAATTTCACTTTATGGCTGATACTGTAACCGACACATGGTTATATTAAGATTCTAAATAATTAAAAAAATATATATCATAATAATAATAATAAAAAAAACAAAAATCAATTTAGGCATCAACATCATATTTGTGCAGCATGAAAACTGGATATTCATTTTGCGATTCACTAAAGAGATTTAAAGATTAATTGTTGTTAAGGATTTACTGTTTTTATTATTATTATTATTATTTTAATTTTTTTTTAAATAACTTTAAGTGAGAGTTAGGCTACGGCAAAGAAAATCTAATTAAAATAAAAAAAATAGTGGGAAATTATGTACAAACATTGAATATCAACCTAAATCGATAAAAAAGATAAATCAAATACTGATAACTAATATGGTACAGATATATTGTGCATCCCTATTTTTGGCCCCACAGTACTTTCTCGGAATATACAGTTTTTTGAGGCCTAAGTTCTAACCATGCCATGGTACTTTCATGTAATAAAAAAAAAAAACCTGAGAACAGTAAAAACAAACATGACCATAATCAAAGAAGCTTTTTCTTACCACTGTAGCGAATGATCCTTTCCGTTGAATCCCCCTCTCCGAACCGTGTTATCGGTGTGAGGCGGACCTGGTAGGCCTCGGGTTTAATGAGTTCCGTGAGGTTGTAGGTGAGTAGTTCTCCTTTCTGGATGTTGTCTTCTGTTGGGATTTCTTGCTCCCACCATCTCTGATGCCCCGTCTGAGGAAAAGAGCATAATTACAAGTTCTTTATTTCAACACCTTATGATTAAGCATCAAGAGAGCACACACAAGTAATGAGCCCCAAAAGGTCCCTAGGGAACAAAAACCATACATCATGATATGATGTCTCAGTCTGTACTATTAATAAAAAAATGAAAATTATATTATAATGCAACACATACTGAGCATAATATTGAAACGAGCTGACCAGCTTATTTCTGTAGCCATTTTAGCCACATTGTAGCCACTTTCTCTCTTAGTATTTTTCTCTGTCTGTACTCTTTAAGTTAAGAACACAGTCTTTATTTCAAATTGAACTTTTCTGATTACAATGGCACCGGCCAGTGGCATTAATCAAAATGCACTGGCGCTTCCTGAGATGGCCCCACTTGTCTGATGCAAATCTGTACAAATTCTCTAAACAAACACCTACACACAGCAGAGGTGACATTTTCAAACAATGATGCTTTTCACTGTGGAAAGAAAGCGGATTAGGTGACAATCACAAAAAGTTCCTGAATGGGCAAAAAATAAACTATTACATTTTTAGTGAAATATGTGAGCTGGCTAATTGATTTTGACAAGGCATTTTAGCTCCCTGACCCTCTCAATTAACTTCTTACAGCAAGTTGAATTATTATGCAATATTAGAAGAAGTCCGTTCATTCCTTCAGCATAAATGGATTTCTGCTGATGCCTCGTGTCATTATTGTGGTGGTAAAAGAAAGGGCATATCTAATTAAAATCCAGCACCTATATGAAATCTTCCTGGATCTCCTGAAGTGAACTGCCGGGCAGTAAACTAATCACAGAGAATCTGAAAGTTGTGAAAGTGTTTGTGAATACCCTGAGCTTTTATTTGTCTATAGTCTCATGTCAACTCAGCAACTCAAAGACCTCACACATCATTCATTACAAATATTTAGGATTAAAAGTTTTCATTTCCAGTGAGGGTAAACACAAAAGTTGTTTTGTAGGAAAGTACACAAATTGTGAGCATCAAGTCAATATGAAAAGACATTTAAAACCCATTTTTCTTCCATAATCTGACATACACAATTTTTTTTTTAATGAAATAAATAAATGAAATTGGATTGAGCAACGATGCATTAAATCGACACATTTTTTATATAAAAAAAAAATGTATTTTGCAATTTCAAATTCTGTCCTTTTGAACTTTATATTTATTAAAGAATCCTGAAAAAATGTATCATGGTTTCCACAAAAAGATATTAAGCAGCACAACTGTTTTCAACATTGATATTAATAATAAATGTTTCTTGAGCACCAAATCAGCACATTAGAATGATTTCTGAAAGATCATGTGACACTGAAGACTGGAGTAATTTTTATTACTTTAAATTATATTAAAATAGAAAACAGTAAAACATACAATACTGTTTCACAATATTACTATATTTACTGTATTTTTGATCAAATAAATGCAGCATTAGTGATCATAAGAGGCGTCTTTCAGAAACATAAAAATGTTTTACCGACCCCCAAACTTTTGTATGGTAATAAAGTGAATGTATTTCTAAAATTAAAAAAAATATTCCTTAAAAAATATGTGCATCAATAAATAATTAAACAACAGGACCTTAAACATTAATACAAGTATTTAAATGCCAATTTTACATCATACTGGCTTCAGTGTAGCACCAAATGGATTTGCAATCTGTTTTAAAATGGCTGTTTGTCCAACCAACGAGAGACGGGTTATTACTAGAATTATCATTACTATGGGTCAGTCATTATTTTCATGGATTGTTGAGATCTTTTGGCCATCAGATTAATTGTGAACATTTGCAAACTTGAATTTTTGCCACGTGACAACAATTAGGCAGGCTGTAGATACACAACGATGGAAGTGGTGGCTGTTGATCTTAGCCTCATGAATACTGTCTCAGAGCTTTGCTGACTGACAGCCATACACAGACTCCCCCGGCAGTCAGCCTCGTCACCGCGGGTCTCACTAGATTCAAAGACAAGATGATTGGTTAAATCAGTGGGGCAAGAGAGAGGAGGGGAGGGTGGCAGCAATAGCCCTGAGAAGTTGCCAGTGTTCCCCTCAGGGTCTCTCTCTCTCCTGGTAACAAGATTTCCATCGCCAAATCCAATTACTGTTTATTGCTTCTGTGAGATTTCTAATTCCATGCCTGCAGACCTTGTAGAGGGGAAAAGCATTGGTGCAAGCACATATAAGAAAAGATAGACTGTTTTTCCCCAAAGCACCTTCCTCCTGCAATGCATCATACAACAACAGCTTATTTTAAAGTCTCTCCTCTTTAAAAAGAGAGAGAGAAAAATCAATACATTCATAAGTGGTATTATCACAGATGGCTTTCAGCAGCATTTGATCTTATCTATGTAAAGCTGCTAAACCAAAAACTCAATTAAACCCCGCTGAAGGGAATCACAGAAGATCATTTTTGCATGCCAAAAAAACTGACTCTTAACCTCCAAACAAAACAAGAAAAACCCAACGTCAAGTTTTTTTTTACGCTAGAGCTAAACACTTGACATGGAGCATCCTTCAACACCATATTGGGTCATTAAAGAACTGAAATGCATCTGCTTTTTTCATGTGGTTCAGTGTGCACAGCTGATTGGGCTCTCGGGCGAGATCCCAATTCGTCAGCCACTGACGTAACGTCTCCGTTCCCTCCTTCAGGGAACGAGGGTTACACAAGTAACCTAGACGTTTTTACTGTATTTTTGATCAAATAAATGGTGCGGTGAGCATGAGACTTAAAAAAAAAACATTTGAATGGTACCATGTATATTACAAACACTATATTCCACATCTTCTGAAGACATATTATCGCTTTTTGTGATTAAATAAATCATTAATCACTGATAATATTCTCTGCTGCAGCAGCTAGCTAATCACGATCATTTAATATTACATATATTCAAATATAGTACATAATATTTAATATTACATATATCCAAATATAGTACAAGAAATCTCCTTATGAGTACTAGAAGTTTGTAATGACATTGTTGTGAGTAAATAATGACAGATTTTTATCCTTTTAAACATCTACAGTACTGGCAAAACAGCACAGCATATGATACTTCTCTTCAGGCCAGTAATCTATTCTGTGTGAGGACACACATCGCGACAGGGTTCATCACAACACTACCCTGAGACACATGTGGCAAAGCCGCCAACTGCAGAAGGAAAAAACAAAGTTTCACAATCAGTGGGGGCTCGACGCCAAAGGCTTTCTCTGGGGTCGCGAGAGAAGCATTATTATATTTTTATAAACTAATTTTCTTCTTCAACTCATTATCATAGCTAAAGAATCCTGAATACAGTGCTCGAGTTTACCTCCTGGTTTTTCTGTAAACCATCTGTGCTCTGAACCGCATGTATTTTCCTCTTTCATAAATCTTGGGTCTGTTGCAGTTTGGCAACGAATTCTGATTGCGAATCAAACCGAGCACAATTACGCCACTCGCATTTGAGCACACAGCATAATTTAAGGCATTTTTGGCTATTCTGCTTTACATACAAACCTGACATTTCCCTTCCTCTGAACATGACCTTTATTCAAATACCATCATCAGAGAGAGGAATACAGGCCTCTTCTTTTGGTCAGAGAAACAGAGAAACATTATCCTCAAAACGCGAGGTTAATTAAAAAAAACCCTACACACATCTGTGTTAACCTTTCAAGAGGAACTGCCCCAGTAATCCAGTGGCGAACACAGAAAAAACAAACTCCACTTACGATATCAGCACTGAAATTCATAGACTAAATGAAAATCTACATGATGTTCTGCAGCACTGCTACATCAGCACTCACCATCGCTGTTCTTATGAATAAAAGGAAAGGTCAAATAATCTCTCTATGGGCACTGGAACTTGCTGGTTACACAAGGTGTGTGCTACACTCGCTAAATAACAGCTGTCTTTGCGATTCAAATATAGCACAAAGTAAAAACATCCCAATTCACCTGCTCTCATCGAAAGTACTTTTGCCTCATTTGTTCTAGCTTTTTTGTTCTTCATTGTAATATGTAAACAGTATGTTGCCGGTCGGAGGTAAAATGGCTTGTTGCTATGGCAACTGGGCTTACTTCTCATTCATGACATCGTTCAGCAAATCTTGTTGTATAAAGACAAGCATAGAAAGAGTTGGGGATGACGGGAGGATGGGGGGGGGGTGATATGAAGAGAACAAGACATTCTGCGCTTATGCATATTCTAACCTAAACACCTTTTTGTACACTGAGATACATCAACTCCACATGGGAGAAAGTAAATTATGTTTTGTGTAAATAAGAACCTCGTTAGTATTTGATCGAAGATATCTAAGGGGGGAAAAAAAGGCTGATTTGCAATTCAAAACATGGCAATTAAAGCAAATTATGATGGTTTTGTTCTCAGTGCATACTTGGGGGCAACCTAAGGAAAGCTAATCAATGAAATCTTTGCAAGTGTTAATATACTGAGTTTATGAAATCTAATTATTTGGATAGCCAGCTTAATTATGAACAATGTCAAAGGTGAAGATGTGCTGATCTCAAACAGAAGGTTTCTTGAATTAAACCAAAACTTTCCTCACAGCAGGTTCATCTGGACAAGTTCAAAAGGTGAAGCTGTACTGATCTATGAACATCTAAAAAAACTCTCCTTAATGCATACCAAGGCTTATATCTATGCATGAGTTACGTGTACAGCAAATGCTAAACATAGAAACGTCATCTATTCTATATCTCCATTGGGAAACATGCTATGGTTAAGCACGTTAAAACATTGTCAACTCTCTTTATTGTAAGTTATGAGTGACACAGGATCACTAAATATAGGCTAACCCGTCTACAAATGCAGTCAAGTGTTGCAAACTGGCATTTCATTAATGATCCCCATGTGCATATGAAGGAATAGTTCACCCAAAAATTAAGATTTGCTGAAAATATACTTGCCCTCAGGTCATTCAAGTTTACATCTTACGTCTGACCAGATTTGGAAAATGTAGCATTACATCACTTGCTCACCAGTGGACTCTCTGCAGTGAATGAGAGTCCAAACAGCTGAGAAAAACATCACAATAATCCACATGACTCCAGTCCATCTATTAATATCTTGTGAAGTGAAAAGCTGCGTGTGAAACACATGCATCATTAGGGTGTTTTAACTTTTAACAGTTGTTTCTGGTCAAAATAGGAGTCTATAATCCATACTAACACTTCCTTCAGTGAAAAAGTCCATCCCTTGTTGTCCTCTCACATCAAAATCCACCGACATATTTGTTTAGAACTGTTTTCGCTTGTAAACGGTGCTTGATCTGTGCATTTTTCTCTCCTCATTCAGACAAGATGACTTTTTCACCGGAGAAAGCAATACTATGGATAGAGGATTGATATTTTAGCTAGAAGCAATGGTTTGAAGCTTAAAACATTTCAATGATGGATTTGTTTCTTACAAAGATGCAGCTTTTTGTTTCACAAGATGTTAATTGATGGATTGGAGTCATGTGGATTACTTGTGGATTATTGTGATGTTTTTATCAGCTGTTTGGATGGCACCCAATCACTGCAGAGGAACCATTTGTGAAAAAGTGTAATGTTAAATTTCTCTAAATCTGTTCAGATGAAGAAACAAACTCATCTACATCTTGGATGGCCTGAGGGTGAGTAAATATTCAGCAAATTGTCATTGCTGGGTGAACTAATCCTTTAATGTCAGTTTGTGTCCACTGCATTTCTAGTGCAGTTTAGAACCGTGATACAACAAATCCTCTGTTGACATTTGCTTCAGTTTCTTCCTTTTTTTTAACAGCAGATACTGAAAAAATGGACGTTTACTTGAGTTCGAACTCAAAAAAAGAGCGAGAGATTGGAAGCTGCAATAACAAACTATATGCACATACACGCCTGAAAAATAACTAAAAAAAAGGGAGTTCTAACTAAAAAAAGAGTGAGAGATTGGAAGCTGCAATAACAAACTATATGCACATACACGCATACCTGCGCACTCAAAATATGAATCGCTTTCATCAGAGTAACCGCTCCAGCGTGCCCCCGGTAATAAGACTTCACACAAGACTTATTTTGTCATAATGCACACTAATGGCAATGAGCTTCGTTTGTAAATAAGATTTTATGCTAACGTTAGCCCACACATAGTCCCAAGGACATTGTACCTCTAGATGCTTCATCCGGTGAAATGTAAATTGCATATTTCCAGAGAATGGCCACGCGTCGATGTCGTGCAAGTCTTTGAATTAGCCCACAGGCCAGTTTGATGACTGCCGAGTGCTGTTTGCTACAGTACAGACACAAATACTTTGCTGCAATGGAGATTAATTTATTCTTGTTATGGTACTGTAAATGTAAAACTGTATCCTAGCACACTGTCTCTCTGCACAAACAATTCATAGAATGAAAAGGTGGCCTACTGTTATTTACATCACAGACTGAAAGAGAAACATGTCAGCAGTGGGTGGGTATCAGTGTGAAACTGTGTGCATGAAAGTGTAGAATGGAAGTGTGTCCTTGAATCTTTACTGTGTGTGGAGGCCTTGATGTTGTATTAGCATGCAAGGGGTGTATGTGTGCATTTGTGTATCTGCATCAATTGCGTTTTCCCAATGGAGGTCAAACATAACAAATATGACCAAAATATAACAAATATTACAAAATATGTGACTGAGTAATGTAGAAACTATTCATTGCTTGGAAGTAACACTGTCCAAAAGTGGCCAATGTCTTAGAAGGCAGCAATGTCTCTTTTGCCTTCCTTGAGATCCCACTGAGATCCCAAAGCATACATGTGAGACAAGTGAAAAGCCACTTGAGAGCTGCTACTGGCTGATTACCTTGTTAATATGATAATGCCTACCTATCATATCCACAAATCAACAAAACTGGAGGAAATAGATGAACAAATTACTAGTAAACAATTCACCCACTCGAATACCACCTATTATGCTCAACTATGCTGCATTTATTATTAATAATACAGTAAAACTACAATAATGTGAAATATTAGCAATTTTTAAAATTACTAAAATGTAATTTCTTCCTGTGATGGCAAAGATGATTTTTCAGCAGCCATTAAAATCAGTTATATTTTTTCATCAATCAATCTTCACTGTATTATCAAGGCTGAAAACAGTTGTGCTGCTTAATATTTTTGTAAAAACTGTGATGCATTTTTTTTCAGGATTCAGGATTTTTTCATCAATGGAAAGTTGAAAAAAAAAACAGCTTTTATTTGAAATTTAGATATCTTCTAACATTATAAATGTCTGTTGCTTTTGATCAAATTAATGCATCCTTGCTGAATAAAAGAAAACAAAAATCTTACTGACCCCAAACATTTAAATGGTAGTGTATGTAAGTTATATAAACTAGTATGTTCATATAAACATACAACAACATTATAGTATTATTTTCTTTTTTATAGTGTAACACTGTAAAAGGTGTAAACAAATTCAGAAGACAAGTGCCTGCTACTGATCTGTATAAGAATGAGAATGAATGAGTTATCAGAGAGAGAATTACGAGGGGGAACAGTATGGGATTTGACACCAGAGGGGAAAAGAGGAAGTCATGTGGGGGAAGAGATCTGATAAGTGCGCCCTGCTGAGTTCACTACTGAAGCAGCACTATAAGTGAGTTTGCAGAAGAGATTGAAGCAGAGGGCGGCCCTGACTCTGAGATTTCAGACTCTGTCAGACTTTGTGAATAGAACAGAATAGAATCATTATTTGTCCTCACACGACCAGGGTCAGTGTAATTTATTTCTAGAACGTATTTGTCTTCAGTGGAACACAAAAGAAGACCTTTTAATTATTTTTTTTGTCCATACATGGTAATTCAATGGAGAACAAAACATTCAACCCTCAATTCAGAATTCAATTCTGACTTCATTGATTGTAGTCAAGAAAATCTTTCAAAATATGTTATTTTAAATTAAAATTGCTACTAGGTGCTTAATAAACAAAAATCAACTTTCAGAGATGTTAGTAACCATGCAAACCGTGGCTACTCCAGTACACAAGACAGCATTGTTTTCAGATGGACAGATTAAAATCCTTGTATGCCCTTGTGTAAAATCAGCCAATCAGAATAGTGCTTGCCAAAATGATAAAATGGTTTTCAGTTTTGCTGGCAAAATGCATCAGCCACTAGTCGACTGGATGGATTTGTAAAAGTATGCACATAAAGCAGTCAATTCCCCACTTTTTATAGGCAGTTCATCCCCAAACATCTTTGATCTAACTAGAAATGTACATATTAAACTGCTCACATGTCTAATGTTTTAAAAACATTTACACTTTTTAAGAAATCATCCTTTAGGACAGGAATTATATAAAAGAAAATGTTTACAATTATAAAATATTTACTTGAAAATTCAATTCTGACTTCATTGATTGTAGTCAAGAAAATCTTTCAAAATATGTTATTTTAAATTAAAATTGCTACTAGGTGCTTAATAAACAAAAATCAACTTTCAGAGATGTTAGTAACCATGCAAACCGTGGCTACTCCAGTACACAAGACAGCATTGTTTTCAGATGGACAGATTAAAATCCTTGTATGCCCTTGTGTAAAATCAGCCAATCAGAATAGTGCTTGCCAAAATGATAAAATGGTTTTCAGTTTTGCTGGCAAAATGCATCAGCCACTAGTCGACTGGATGGATTTGTAAAAGTATGCACATAAAGCAGTCAATTCCGAACTTTTTATAGGCAGTTCATCCCCAAACATCTTTGATCTAACTAGAAATGTACATATTAAACTGCTCACATGTCTAATTTTTTAAAAACATTTACACTTTTTAAGAAATCATCCTTTAGGACAGGAATTATATAAAAGAAAATGTTTACAATTATAAAATATTTACTTGGTCACCCCTGTGATTTTACAATTTAAACATTTTCATGTGTACCTTTTTTTGTCATTTTATGTCAGAGTACATGGCACACAGGTAAGATATATATACAGTATATATATGTTTTTTCATCAACTCACAAACCCCCTGCAGTTCCCTCATGAATCCCAGTTTGGGAAACCATATTAAAATAGTCTAGGGAGTACATACTTTAACAACCAAAAAACAGCATATTTCACCTTTATATTTGTGTTTGTACTTAGTTTATTTAAAAACGAAAGTAGTGCAAGCATATTCAAGTTAGAGTGAGCAAGTAACTTGGAACAAAGTCCCAGAAGCAGCCCGAGGTAAAAGGCTTCATCTCAGCACTACATGGAAAGTATGATCAATAGAGAGATTCTCACAATGCTGTTGAAACATTGCAGAGATATGATGACACACTTACAGCATGAATGCAATTCAAACATGCTACAACAAGTTCTTGGGGGTAAAACGGGGGCCGAGGGTCACCTGTCATCCCACAGGTGCATTGTGGCTCCATTTTACATTGGGCAACGATTGAAAATTATGATATTCATTTACTTGTGATAAGAAAACAGCTGTAACTTCAAATGACAATGCTGTTGAAACATTGCAGAGATATGATGACACACTTACAGCATGAATGCAATTCAAACACGCTACAAGTTCTTGGGGGTAAAACGGGGGCCGAGGGTCACCTGTCATCCCACAGGTGCATTGTGGCTCCATTTTACATTGGGCAACGATTGAAAATTATGATATTCATTTACTTGTGATAAGAAAACAGCTGTAACTTCAAATTAGGAAATTAACTCTGTGAAACCTTGAATATGAAATGGAATAGTTCCTGAACTGGATTTCAGGGCCGCAGGAGCAAAAAACAATAACAGGGGCTTTGGAAATGAGAAACAATATGAGTATTTTCCACAACAAACATCTCGTATACTTCACACTTTTAGGAGCCAAATTTGGTTTATGTCTTCTATCTGGAATTGAGAGGAATTAGATTTCTATAATGTGGATTTATGTGTAAATGCCTTTACCATGGCTGGAGAATTAAACAATGTTGGACTATAGCAGTAAAAGAGGCTTCTATTTCTCCTCTAGTCTGGGAGCTAAAGGTAGTGCTACAAAAATATCTTTAAAGACACTTAATTCCCATTAAAGTAAACTCTGAAATCCCTTTAATTAAAGATTAATTGTTATACAACGTTTCTACAAAGTGCTGTATAACATCCTCTAAACAGAAAGCTGAAGCAACTTGCAGCACTGCAGAGGTGTAACCTTATATGTCATCTAAGTTAGGATGACTTTTACAACAGCGTGTTAAGTGCCATAAGCACAGAAAAAACGTTAAGAGGGCTCGTTAAACTTGAAG